CTAAAAACCATCAACTCACGATTCTGGTTACTTTAAAATTTGGTATGCTGTATCTCAAATACATTAGTAACTATTCCTAGATGGAAATAAGCAAATACATGGAATGATTAAAAAAAGATAAAAAACATTACTAAACTGTCCATTTGTACAGACAAAACATTAGCAAACATCTTAAGATATCTTCAGCAAAAGAAATACACGTGTATTTTTAACCCTTTGGTATCCAAACTCTTATTAAATAATGAAGACTTTCTTAAATATATTCTTCAGTTAATAATAGGAAGAAACTATTTTTAAAGTTTCTACCTACATAAATTTGGTGCCAAGTTTTCAAGTTCAAAGTTACTGAGGATAGTTTTACATTGCAACTGAGCACAATTATGTTTGCATACATTAAAATGTAAAACCACCATTCTAGGAGTTTGATGAAGTATTTAACATGCTCCTTCTATAATTTAGCAAGGGAAAAAGACATCTGGATTTAGAAACCATTGGTTTCATTTGAAAGCACTATCTATAAAAGCAGCAAAAATATCTGTATTTTAATCAAGCTACTATGAAAAACAATCAAAATTCTAAACTTAATTTCTTAACAAGTCTGGAATGGTGTCAACCCACTTACTGTGCCTGTCTAGCAGGCAGAACTTAATAGTTATTACAGAAAGTGATTCCTCCATCCCAAAACACCTTAACCAGAAAACAGCCAAGACCAGACAAATCTGCTGTGGTGACAATTAGATACAAGGAGGCAGCACAGTGGCTCACACCTGTAAACCCAGTGCTCTGGGAGGCCAAGGTGGGAGGATTGCTTGAGCCCAGGAGTTTGAGACCAGCCTGGGCAACACAAGATTACCCGATCTCTACAAAACATTTTTAAAAATTAGTTGGGCATGGTGGTATGTGCCTGTAGTCTCAGCTACTCAAAAGTCTGAGGCAGGAGGATCACTGGAGCCTACAGGTTTGAAGTTGCAGTGAAGTATAATCATGCCACTGTACTTTAGCCTGGATGACAGAGTGAGACTGTCTCTTAAAACAAAAAAGAGGAAGCAAAAAGTAGGATGTGCGGATTAGAATTCAGAGGACCTAAAATCCGAAAATATGAATTCAGAGTCGTAATTCTGGTAGATTTCATAACTGCATTATTATTCTGACAGGCAAATAAGCTAACAAAAATAAACCACAAATTTCAAAATGAACAGCTAAAAGTAAATTTGGATAACATTTTGACAAGGCCAAAGTTGCAAATAAATTTAACATTGATATTAAATATGCTCATCATCTGTATTTGCTCTCATGAAAATCTGGCTTCTAGACAGGACTCTATGGTAAACAAAGAAAGGTGGTTCTAAATGGTCAATTTTGATCCAAACTAAGCAAATTCCATTTTAATTAAAAATTTCTAAAAGTGAAGTATTTTTTTTGGCATTCGAAGTCTACTAACATCACATTCTAGGCTTTTGTTATTATGGCCAACTGTGCCTGCTTTCTAAACTAGGCAAGAGAATTTTCTAGAGTGAGTCACTGAATTTGCTTATATAAGGCTTTAGATGCTTCTCAAGCTAACTAATGATCCCAGTTAAGATAAAAAAAATTAATGTAATTAAGTTAAAATACATGTAGCCCAGCTGAAGATCTGGTTACCACAGAATAAATGGCTTCTAAAAAAATCCTCTCCTATAAAAAGGTTCTCAGACTTTGCCATTAAACACTGGCATCTATATAATGTAGTATCAAAATGGACACACAAATCTGCCTGAGATGCAAGTAATGTTGGTCTCATTCTGAATCTCTTTATTCCTACTCCGTTGGCATAAAGCTATTTTAATAGCTGGTTGATATGGAAACATCCTCCACTTTCTCAAGAAAATAAAGACGAAGTAGCCAACATTAATTGGTACCAAATTACTAAGAGTACAGCTAATCCAAGGCTCGAAATCTGCTATATACAATGTTCGTAGTAAAAAGATCTTAATTATCAGCAGACAGCAAGTTTTCAAGTCTTCTTCCAAAATCACATTAAGATTTAATGTTATGCTGCTACATGCTCTATCGTCCAAAAGAAAAGCAAGATGACAATCTTTTTGTAATAGTATATCCTCTTCTTCCAATCAAAACCTGAGTGTCAAGCAAGCAGCAAATACTGGCTGCAACAGGAAAATGGAACTACTATGTTAGCAAGATTAAGGATGGTGAAAACTTCACATATTTGCTGAAAACTCCATACACAGAAATTTCGGTCCTTTAAAGTATACAAACATACAGTTTTATCACAGAACTTAGATTTAATCCTGTGAATTTTAATTTTGAGACGTAAATAATGGCAAATAATAGTGACCAACATATAAGCCAGAAACAGAATCTCACACACAGAAAACTTGGCACCAAAACTCAAGATTTAAAATAAGAAAAGAAAAAGGAAGTCCATTAACATACTCACGTGTGGTGCTAGAAAATTTAATACGATGCACAGCAGCTGAAATGCGTTATCTTACAGATGCAACCTACATTAACAAGTAAGTTATATAACAAACCATTCTAGCCACAGACACTTAGCGTACTTGCCCTTATTATTATGTACCTCATGTCCAGAACAGCACAACAATTTAAGACTTTGGGCACTTTATGTAGCAGATACATAAAAAGCAAAGCAGGAATTAAGAGCAAATTAATTTAATAATACTGATATAAGGCAGCTTTTAATCTATTCACAGGAAAAATTTATATTATCTCCTAAATATTATAGCATGTAATATAAATAATTAATAATCTGGTCCATTCTGAATGAAAAATTAAGTAACTCTAAGGACATTAATTCTATGCTCCTTGAACGTCTTAAAAAAAAAGGTTATGATTTGCTAGGACTACACTTAACCATGAGCAACATTACAGGGAATAAAACAGACCTAGTACCATTATTTTGGAGATTCAAACTGTTACACGTTGGTAGACTAAATGGGGTAATTATAAAAATGTGCAGAAATCAAGAAGCAACTTACAAATTAACTGACAAACTTGACACTTTAGATGTTAAAACTAAATAACCATATATACAATAGCAATAAATAATGATTACTTGTGCTCTATCTCCAGGCCAAAGACTTGGAACTTAAGAATCGCTTTTGGCTAGATAGCTCAGGCTAAGTATTTCTTCTAAAAAAAAAAAAATGAAAGCTCAGTCCAGGGAAGTCACCATAATGCAGGGTCTTGAGGGGTGGCTCTTATACTGAGAAGGAAAAACAGACTGGCACCTGAGCCCATCTCAGCCACACCTGGTGGAAAAGAGACACTTGAGGGCCCTGTAACCAAGGACAGAATTGTAAATAAAAGATTCTCATTTTTAAAAAGACACCTACTAAAAAAAGGACATTGTGATATTTATTGGCTGAAAAGATTAAGCTATCCATAAAATGAATAAAACATCTTTGTAATAAAATCTTTAGGACCATTTAAGAGTATTATTTAGAAAAGTCATTAAAAATATCAACTTCTAGTTATCCACTGTTTCAATAAATGACAAGCAATTTTATCAATTATGTTATATATGACTCCGTATTTTATAATGAAAGCTTGTTATTAAAGATGAGTTTTTAATCTAACTACAGCTAAGAAAAATGCACAAATTACTTTGTTTTAAAGCAATCCACTGAGAATCACCTCAATGTTCTTCTATTGTATTAAATATATTATCAATTGTTTCTACGTTACCTTTAGTCACAACTATACATGAAGTCAGGAGAGTCCTTGTAATTTAACAGTAAATACAGGCCATGTTCATAATACTAAGTAACTATATAAGGATCATAGCCCAAACTAATGGCGAATCTTGCCAATAAACTTAACAAAACAGAAGCTAAGATATTCACAGGTTATCGACAGCCACTGGTACCTACATGTGTCGTGCATTAACGTGTATGGTTTTGCTGTCTAAGATCTACTTTCAATATTTACTATAATACAGAGTCAAAGCAATGAAATGGAAACCAAAGGGTTAAACTATTTTGTGGGTTTTCTTTCTTTCAAAGTCTAAATGTTCACATTTCTGATTAGAATAATGTGGTTTATAATTAATCTTTATGAATTATTCATAACACAAGGTAAAACAAAAAGCTGATATTATCAGTTATTTTGGTTATTACAGCTCTATAGCTTACACTCAATATTTAAGGGTGAAAACCGCATCCATTTTGTTAATGCTGTGAACTGCAGAAGAAAAATTTTTATAATATAAATCTTTAAGAGAAAGTTGATAACAAATAAATTTAATAGCTAAAATAAACGTATAATGCCATGGCTAGCTAATGATTTGCATATAAGATCTAATTTCTAAAAGAATACATGTAAACATTAAGATTGTCCTATCAAAGCATAAATAAGCTAACTGATGTAAGCCAAGCTAAAACAAAAGATATTTTAAAATAATGCCACCGGTATGAGAAGCTTATAGCAAGCTTGGGGTCTTTAGTGTAAATAGTGCTATTTTACAAAGAACTATTAATTATTAAGTTGTAATAGGCTTTAAAACATAACATTCTCACATCTGCCAAGATGTGGAAACTGAAACCCAGAAAAGCTAATTTTCTTCAGAAACTTTTTGAGTCAGAGATGCCTGAAAAGATACTTTAATCCAACCCAAGCTTCTTGTTTTGAAATTAAAACTTGGCAAAAAAAAAGTTTAAAGACCACAGTCACACAACTAGTTAGTGGAAAAGTGGTGGCAAAGTAATGATGCCAAGTTCCAAATCTAATTAGTTAACTGTTCTTTCAGTTCAAATACACCCTCAACAAGAATACTGAGGCTGCTTGAAATTAAATCCCCTTCTGTTAGAGATCAACTTAATCCACACAATTTTTCTCACTAATACCAACTGTTCTAAAAGGCAAAATTATATTACTAATTTTGAAAACAAAGGTACTGGACTGTTGCCTGCTTATATACTGCCTTTAAACAAAACATCCTCGACTACATCTTTAGCTGCAAAGAATAAATGAAAGACACTTACTCGATGTGAGCCCCATTCGCCACAAGGGCACTGATGCAGTCTAGGCTCCCAGAGCGAGCTGCCTTGTGAATGGGAGTTTCACCCTCACAATCCTGAAACAACAAAAAGCAAAATATACACATACTCAGAACAAATCTTCTGGCATTTTAAAGTAACGTCATTAGCACAGATCAGAGACCTTCTCATTCTTTGAGACAAAATGTGTTGATCAAGGTCTGAAGCAGAACACAAAGAAATCAATACATGAACAGAGGATGAGAGCAAACCAGGAGGGACAAGTTCTCTAAAATGTTTAGCTACCGGTCAATGACCAAGTATCTCTGAGCCTTCTCCAGTAGTGACACTGTGAATGCTCTCAACAGTGATTTATAAATCACTTCATGTTGGATCTTAGCACATGTGTGTTTTATATAAACCCAGAGTAAGTTAAAACACACACACACACACACACACACAAACACACATTAAAACAGTCATCAAGGCCAAGAAATAGCATATAATAGCTGACATATGGTCTCAGCTGCCCACTTTCCTCTGTGCCCACCGCAATGCTAACCTAAGTCAACATCATCAATGCCTAACTTGAAACTTCTACTTTGAACTTGAAATGGGACCACAGCTTAGACAAGATGGTGTGAGGCACAATGGTTGACCTCTTTTCAGTATTTACTAGAGGGAATATTTACTAAATATTCCCAAACTATTTTCAGTATTTACTAGAGGAAAGAGAGAGGAACACAAAGGTAAAGCAAAGCAAGCTTCAAAAGAACAGATACAGGTGAAGGGGAGGAAGGCAGCAAACCACACTGCCATGTGTGTACCTATGCAACAATCTTGCATGTTCTTCACATGTACCCTAAAACCTAAAATGCAATTTTATATATATATTAGAATGAGATGCCTGCTTCAGAAAGGTTGGGGGAGTGGGGGAGGGGGTGAAGCACACACGGACACAGAGGAAAGGGAGTAAACCCAGGAAAGCCACCGTGGACGTCAGCACAGTCAACCCAGGTCCACAGTACGAGACTGAAACAACCTCAAAGGCCATCTTCATAGGCTATCAGCCATGAAAGACAATCGGACATAGCAATCAAGAGAAGAAGGTCATTTCTGGTGGAAAACAGACCGGGAAATCTTGGGGGCTCCACGGCAACACCTCTTGAATAATCACACTGCAATTTCACTGGTAGCTGAACTTGGCAGAAGACTACCACAGAATTAAGAGATCAAGATAAAAAGGAGTGCAGTGATTGTGGGTCATTCAGAAAACAGTTCATTCATAAACTCAGTAAATAGCCGAGCTCCTTCACCAACACATACTAACTCACAGGAGAAAAAATGAGGTGAGGGCCACCCAAAGTTAAAAAAAACAGTGGTAGAATAATTTACAGAAAAATAAAGAGTATGAAAGCCTCAAGTGCTTGGTGGAGGGAAAAATCTGCACATTTATTTAAACAAAGGTCTGAAGAGAATATAAAGCAACGTAAAGCTCTAAAGCTCTACACAGAAAAATCCGTTTTTGAAAAGAGAAACACAGAAAACCACGCAGCTATACAGTAAACTCTCTGTTGAACTCAGATTTTTTGAAAAGCCAAAACCTGGCCCTATCCTCCTAAAAGAGAGGTGGGAATGGAAGAGGAGTAGTACAAAATAAAGACAAATAAAAATTACACGAAAACATTGCCAGGAAAATGGGAGCTGAGATTTAGATAGTTTTGCTGAAAAAAAAAAAAAAGCTGAAAAGGGGGGAAAAATGGTCTTTAAAGATATCCTTGGAACAAGATGAAAAAGGGTCTGTTATTGGGGGATATCAACAGATGACAGAGAAAAAGCAAAACTATCAACCTCTGTAGGGACAATCTTTTTCTTCCTTTCTTTTTTTTTTTTTTTTTTTGAGACGGAGTCTCGCTCTGTTGCCCAGGCTGGAGTATGGTGGCACGATCTTGGATCACTGCAACCTCCACCTCCCAGGTTCAAGTGATTCTGTTTCAGCCTCCTGAGTAGCTAGGACTACAGGCTCATGCCACCACGCCCCGCATTTTTTTTTTTTTTTTTTTTTTTTGGTATTTTTAATAGAGACAGGGTTTCACCTTGTTAGCCAGGATTGTCTCGATCTCCTGCTGGGATTACAAGTGTGAGCCACCACGCCCAGCCTGTAGAGACAATCTTTAAGGGCAGAGCAAACAATAAAGGCAGGCCCCTGCACCTTGAGAGAAGGCAGCCAGAAGAAAAGACACTTAGAGCAAAGAGCCAGATGTAGGTGCCCAGGCCTCCAGCTCAGCCCAGCCACACAGCAAACACAGCAAATTGAGTAATAAAGGGAACTGGGAGCAGTGCCAGAATGCTCAAGACAAGCTGGGCACCTTGGGTTTTAATAAAGAAAAATTTCATTTCTAATCTAGATATGAAAAAGGCAACATCAAATGCCAGCAAAATTCTAGAAAAGGCATATGAAAGAGAAAGCTTGCTAATTATACACCAAGGACAGTCAATACAGACTCACTAAAAACAAATAACATGAAAGCTGACTTCATTTCCTCCTGGGGAAACCAAGAACATGGGCCTCCAGACAGCACATGAGCTTCCGTAATCTCACAGGCTTACCTTAGAGACTGCCAAGAAAGTCTGTGCTATTGACCTTGAGGAACATGAACTTAGAACTATTAGTGGCTAAGATGCCAAAGGATTAACATACTAGAAACTGGGTTAAAACACAGCATGAACAGGTTCAAAAAATTAAATGCATACAAACAACAAAGGAAAAAGACCTGGATCTGACGTCCTAAGAGTTCATATGAGAAATGAGAGAAACTGTCTACCTGGAGATGAGTCAGCAGGTGGGCGGGGGTTGGAGGGTTATTGTGCCCTCAAGATCACTGGGTGCCCATCACAAGAGGCGTCAAAATTCACCCACTACTACATAATAGAGGGAGATGATGTCTGAGATTCGGATGCAAACTTTACATGCCAGCAGACCACAATTACCTAACCTAAGACCCACTAAGGTGCTTAACAATGCCAAATGATACGCCCTAGGCACATGGAGGACTTAGAAATGTCTACCCAGATATTTCAAATGCAGGGAGGGCTGCAAAGAAAAAGATTGTAGGATCCTGCCTTTGAAGAAGCAGAGTGCGAGAGGACAGGAGAGGTTTCCAAGAGGTGTTATCTAGAGGCACCTGAGAGGAAGGTGGGGGACACAGAAGCACACTTTCTGCCCCCGCTTCTCTATTGAAAATACTGAACTGCAATAAGACACTTTGAAAAGTGTCTTATTTATAAGACACTTTTGACTTCTCGATTTATAAAGGTCTGGAAAGCAGTGTTAGACAATTTCTCTAGTCCTCGCTAAATCAGATGCTATGTAATAATTCAATGAAAATTAACATACAAAAATTCTATAAATTCCATACTAGGTGTTAATTACTGCCATTCATGAATTAGCCATATTTTACTGATAAAGGAGATTGAGCCACAGACCAAGTTAACGACTTGCCAAAGGCCAGAGATATGGCAGAAGCAGGAATCAAGCCAACACTGCCCTTTCTACCAGGGGACAGGGGTAGGGGAGAAGGAAAGACACAAGGTGATGCCCAGCACCATAAGGGTATAAAGTAGGTAATTCATAACTCTCAAATTTATGAATACAAGCAACAGAGCAGCAGAGACATCTACATATGTAAAGTCATACATGCAGAGATGGAAAGGGAAGTGACAGCATAGCAACCTGAAAAGCTGTCCCATATCCCAAGTATCAGTTTAGTAACAAACAGGCCTCAACTCTTGGCCACCCTCCCTTACAATGTCTTTTCTACTTCGCATCTCTTAAGGAGACAATCACTTACCCCAATCTCCCACTGACTCTTGCTTCTCTTAAGGGGACAATCACTTACCCCATTTTCCCATTGATTCTTGTTTTAAATCAGGGCTAACACCTTCTTTCTCAATTACTTGCTCCTTAGCTGAGTAGCCGAGTTTTTAGGAGAGAGACTAGCAACTGCTTTATACCTGGTTATCATCAAGGGTTGAATCTTGGGAAAGACAAAAGCAGGAAGAAGACTTTGCATAAAACAAGGCCTTGATGACTGTACATAGCAGAAGCATTTACAAAAAGGAGAAGAGAAAGGCATCAAAAACAGCTCCCAGAGCCCATGCCAGGTCTCTCAGACTAATCCGATTGCAGCAAAGGATGCCAAGTGTTGGGACTGCTCCAAGTCAGACAACCTACTGGGTATCAGAGCTGCTTGTCTCACGCAACCAAGTCCCTAACAACCTGAACACTCTCATATAGGTGAAATGCCACTGAAAACACACCATGGGAAAAATCTGGCACACTTACGTTTCTGTTTGTATGCTTAATCTTAAATATCAAGTCCTCAAGTCACTTACTCTTCCTGCTTAGTAAATGATACTTAGCTACTTATCTGCATCAAGGCATCAACTGGCATCTGAAGCTCACTTTGGAGTCAACTTAACAGCCATGCATTTTCCAGAATAAAAGTGTTTTTATAATTACCTGTGGAAATGAGGCTAAGGCAGCTGTGAGTAGAAAGCCAGAAAACCTGGGCTCAAGGCCAGGCTCCTTTAATTACCAGCTATAACCTTGGGCACATTATCCTGGATCACAGTTTATCATGAAGTCACATTATAAGTGAAAGCACTCTATAAACAGAAAGCATTCCTGTGGAAAGGGCCTATTATCCTCCACAAACTGAAGAAACAGAAATCCTGGTTTGTTCTCAGGTAAAGATATCAAGCTCTAATTAGGACCTCAATTTAAAGCAATACCATGTGTATAACTGTAACTGCAAAAAGAAAAAGCAAGAGCAAACGAAGTCTATCCAGCACTCTTACCGGTTTGTTAATGTTGGCTCCTGCTTGAATCAGCCAGATCAGGCACTGAGGATGTCCCCCAAAGGCCGCAATGTGGGCTGGTGTCTGCGCGTACCGCGTGGTGGAGACGTTGAGTGTGGCTCCTGCTCTCACCAACTGCATTAAGCACTCCAACTTCGAAAATAGGAGGGGAGATGAAAACACGCAGACATGTCAGTACCCTATATTCAATATTACACAAATAAGCTAAATTCTATAATGGTGACAAATGGCTTTGTTACCAATTTTTTAATAGAGCAAATTAAATCACTCCTTCCCAACGCCATGCAAATTTTAAAAAGCATTTAAAACAACATTTTTCCTTGTCCTTATGAAAAAGACGGTAGACAGAAATTAAAAAACGCAGAAAGGCTAACACCATACAGATTTAAATATTTTGGTTTCCCTACAACCGAATAAGCCAAAATCAGAAAAGATTGGACTGCACTGTTGAAAGACTTCTATCAAAACTGTTTTTTGCACAGACTATTCTAAACAAAAATGTTAAAGGGATTGGTGGGTTAAAAAACTGTGCGCAGGCCAGGCGCAGTAGCTCACTCCTGTAATCCTAGCACTTTGAGAGGCTGGGTGGATTACTCGAGGTCAGGAGTTCTAAACCAGCCTGGCCAACATGGTGAAATCCCGTCTCTACTAAAAACAAAAAAATTAGCTGGGCATAGTGGTGGGAGCCTGAGGCAGAATTGCTTGCACCCAGAAGGCAAAGGTTGGAGTGAGCCGAGATCACACCACTGCACTCCAACCTGGGAGTGCAAGACTCCATCTTAAAAAACAAACAAAACTTTGTGTAATGCTGAGCATGGTGGCTCACGCCTGTAATCCCAGCATTTTGGGAGGACAAGGCGGGAGGATCACCTGAAGTTCAAGACCAGCCTGGCCAACACAGTGAAACCCCATGCTGGAGTTTTAAAAATACAGAATTACAAAAATTAGCCAGGTGTGGTGGTGCATGCCTACAATCAATCCCAGCTACTCAGAAGGCAGAGGAAGGAGAATCAGTTGAACCCAGGAAGCGGAGGTTGCAGTGAGCCAAGATAACTCCACTGCACTCCAGCCCGGGCAACAGAATAAGACCCTGTCTAAAAGAACACCACCTCCCACAAACTTTCTGTCGCTACAACTCCTCGTGGTCAAAGACTATTTTCTATAGTGTACACAACTATGCACTTTTAAACAAGTCAGCACTAAATACTCATTGAATACTCAACTAAGGCCCCATTCTCCACATTAGTTTTTTACTCTTTCCAAATGATTTATATTTAAAAACCCTATGTTTAAAAAAAAAAAAAAAAAAAAAAAGCTTACGGCATAACTGAGCAATGCCCCTGGTGGGTGACTAACACGGCAAGTTAAGGCTTTGTGGCCAGGCACCAATACTATGCTAGCCTCTGGCTAAAACAGTTCACCACATTCAACAAATTTAGCAAGTGCCTACCATGTGCCAAGCAATTGTTCCACCCACGTTCTCTAACCCTAGACTGCTGGTTTTCCCTCCACTCCAATCACAATGCAGTTAGGGAACTATGCCTGACTGTAAGCAATTCTCAAGAGCAGAGACTGCACCTGAAGACAAAATACCTAATACCCTCCCCTTTCCCATCTCTCTTAGCACTTTAAAGCTTTCCTTGCAAAGGACGGATCGTATCAATAAACATTTCTGTGAGACGAAGAATACACAGATTCAAAACACACTCTTCAACCAACTTGAATCTGGGGGTAAAGGCTGATGTCTATTTTTATTTACTGCCTTTATTAATTTACTGGGTGAAAATGAAAGTATTAACTAGTGATAAGATGAACAGGTCTCAAATCACATAAAAATAAAACGGATGAAAATCACTCGGCATACCAAAAATCATTTACTGAGACCTAGCTAGGCTCAAAGCTGTTACCCTTGGGTTCAATCTAGAAACCTGGATTTGGAATTCTGGAAAGATACTGTTCAACACGGTATCATAAAAGGTACAATAGAGATTTTAAACAACGTTTAGCCCTCTGGGAACAAATGAGTCTTACCAACGTTAGGGATCTTGTGCATCACTAGCACATTTCTCAGAACACTAGCCTGAAACCGGTGTAAAAGGGCAGTCGTTAGCAGGGTTGCGGGGGAAGCCTGGACTGGAAAGCTGCAGCCCTGAGTACTGGCCTGATTTCTGTCCCAACAGATTCTCAGAAGGCAATGTCTGGACACTGGACAGGGGCTTTCTAAGGTCCCTTCCATATCTAAGACCAAACAGCCCTATGATTCAGACATCTGGAAACAATGAAGTAACTGCTTCTAGTTACACTTGATGACCATTTGATGACCAAGGTAAAGCTACTGCTCAAAGTTCCATGGAAGCAGGCTTTTGAAAAGCTATTTCAGTTTTTTTAAATGCGATAAAATACACACGAAAAGTTACTATTTTAAAGTAGTTATGGCTATTTTAATCCCCAGAGACAACTGGAGGCACCACTGGGTGAAATATTCTAAGTGACCATCCATAACGAGGCTTTAAGCATTCTACAGATTGTTGTTCACTGTCACACAGTACTGTGTCATTCTCAACCAGAGTAGAAAGGACGGAATCCTAAAGTTTAGTGTAAAAATAAACCACAGCAAGAGGCACTCTGGAGGGAGGGAATCCTCAGATTACTGACTGCCTCGGGAAATCTATTTCAGGCTGCAGGCAAAAGCGCAGGGAGGAGGCTTTCTTACTTTTGTTAAGAAACTCATTTCCCCTGAGGACTTGTTTTCTCCAGCTGCTACCACAGTCGCACAACTTCAGAGACAGTGCCACAGGGACCTAACCGCCCTTGAGGGTTAACCTGCTTCCCCACCCCATCGTCAAAACTCCTTTTCATTTCTTTTACTTAAAAAAAAGTAACTTTTCCACTTTAAGAGGAGAATCAGAAACTGTTTCCCAAAAGAGACAACTGCGTTGTGAAGGCAGCACCGGGGGTAGCAAGATAAACTGCAACTCCCTCAGTGGTGACGACATTACGGTGGCCAGGCCTTCTTAAAATAACTTATTTCACCTTATCCTCTATGTATTTCTGCAAAACCATTTAACCCCATCTCATAATTTACGAGGAAAAACACTATAAATACCCCTGAATTTTAGCGAATTAAAAAATACTAATCATTTAAAGCCACTTTCGAAAGGCAAGGTGAAATCTCCATTTAAGACTTATCTGAGGCCGAGCGTGGTGGCTCACGCCTGTAATCCAAGCACTTTGGAGGCCAAGGCGGGCGGATCACCTGAGGTCGGGAGTTCAAGACCAGCCTGACCAACATGGCGAAACCCTGTCTTTATACTACACACACACACACACACACACATAGACTTATCTGAGCAAATACCAAGAACTGCAGCTATCCAACCTTTAAAAACTTAAAGCAGCACTGTGTTCCCCAGAATTTTCAGTTTAAAGTAAAAAAGAGAGGAACGTAAAGGCTCCACAGGAAGAGAATTTTGCTTAATTTAACCACTTCTGCAGACATTTAGAGCCAAGATAAACTCAGCCGTCATTAATTTTCCTGAACCGGGGCCAGCTACGAGCCTTAAAGCAAACCCAGAAGCCGGAGAGCCGGTCTCCACCCGACACGGCTGCCCGGGCCCTCCAGGCCGGCCGCGGCGCCAGCTCCTCGGCTGAGCTCGTCCGCAGCGCGGGCCTCGGCTCCCGGGGAGGCTGTGCCGAACCACAAGCTCGGCCGCGCCCGGGCATTCCCCTCGCGCCTGGCTCCCGCAGCGCAAGGGCTACCGTCGCCTCCGACCCCAGGCGCCGCTCCCCGGAAGCCCCGTGGGCGACGACGCGGCCTAACATCCCGCTCTGAGAAATCACCCGCGTCCCCGGCCCGGCCCGCAGGGCCCGGCGCCCTCGGTGCGCAGGCTCCGGCCGACAGGCCCCGGGACTCCCGGAGACCGCCTGGTTAGAAAGTTGCCACGCGCCGCCGCACATGCGCCCTGGGGCCCTCGGGGCGCAGGCGCCGCCGACCCCGCTTCCGCCCCGCGCTCCCGGCACGCCCCGCACCCCCCCGCGGCCCGCCGCGGCCCTCGAGCCCGCGCGCTGCCGCACAGGCGCCGCCGACCCCGCTTCCGCCCGCGCTCCCCGCGCGCTCCGCACGCGCCGCGCGGTCCGCACCGCAGACCCGCTTTCCCCGGCCCCCACTCGACAGCCAAGGAAAATGGCGCCTTAAAGTGCTCGCGCCCACCTTGCCGAAGTGCGCGGCCCAGTGCACGGGCGTCCAGCCGTAGAAGGAGTCCTCAGAGGCCAGGTGGGCGTGCGGCGTCTGCTGCAGCAGCGAGCAGAGCGTGGCCAGGTCCCCATCGCGGCAGGCGCGGTGCAGCGGGAAGCGCAGCGACAGCAGCTCCTCGCTGGAGAAGCCCGCCTCCACGCCCGCGCCCGCTCCCGCCGCCGACATGGTCCGTCACCCGAGAGCGCGGAGCTCGCTGGCCGAGGATGCGTCGGGGAGGACCCGAGAGGTCGCCGCCGCCCGAGCACAAAGGAGCGAGACGAGCGGGGCGATCGCGTCCCACAGGCTGCCGAGCCGAGCGCGCTCTGAGGGGGCGGGGCGGGGCCTAGAGCGGCCGGGCGCGGGGCGGGGCCTGGCCCCGAGGACTACTGGAGCGGCCGGGCAGGGGGCGGGGCCTGGGCCAGAGAACGCCCGGAGCACCCGCGCGGGAGGCGGGGCCTGGAGCCGCGGACGCCTGGAGCGGCGGGACAGGGGGTCAGGGCTTGGGGCTCAGGACGCCTGGAGCAGCCCCACGGGAGGCGGGGCCTGTGGCGGCCGCTGCGGGGCGGAGTCTAACCCACAGGACGCCTGGAACAGCCGGGTAGGGAGCGGGGCCTGGACCTGAGGCAGCCTGGAAGCCGCCGGGCACAGGGCGGGGCCTTGCCCGGAGGACGTCGGCAGTAGCGGGTTAGGGGGCGGGGTCTGCAGCCGCCAACGTCCGGAGCAAAAGGGCACGGGGCGGGGCTTAGGCCAAGAGGACGTCTGGAGCGTCCGCGCAGGGGGCGGGGCCTGGCTGGGCCGCTGCCCACCGCGGCTTCCGGGGCTGGAGAGTACCGGGCTGGAAGTTTGGGGGCTCAAGGGCTCAGAGCGGCGGGGCGGCGGTCTGCGGGGCGTCTCGGCCGCACCCCGCTTGCGGACCGTGGTGTCTCCAGCCTGGGAGCCTGTCGCGGGGCGCAGGTTGAGGCTCCGCGGGTCCCCACCCCGAGCAGGTGGGAGCTGCGGGTCTCCCCAAGGCCCCGCAGCGCGCAGTGAAGTTGTCCCGTTAATATTTATGGAGCGCCTGCGGGAAGCAGGGCATCTTATTAAAATCCGAATGTCAACAAGCCCTAGTTCCTTACGGAGCAGGAGATACTCCTCGGCTTTGTCGGAGGGACGCCGTCCTCGGAACCGAGTGAAGTGGGTTGGGACTATACGTTTGCAAATTTAAAAGATAAGCCAGAAGACCACACAGAGCCAAAAAAACACGGCTTTTTGTTGACAACTGTGTAACTGTAAGGGAATACAAAATTCCCTGTTTCAGATGACGGCATCATGGGCTTTATGACATACGTAATTTTATTCTGATTATGAAAGCATCAGTAATTTCACCATTAAGGAATAACCACTTAATGTTTATGAAATTTCCTTTCCTTCTAAATATGCAGTCTTTTTAAATCATGTGTTTTGTTTCTTTCTTTTTTTTTGAGACGGAGTTTCGCTCTTGTTACCCAGGCTGGAGTGCAATGGCGCGATCTCGGCTCACCGCAACCTCCGCCTCTTGGATTCAGGCAATTCTCCTGCCTCAGCCTCCTGAGTAGCTGGGATTACAGGCACGCGCCACCATGCCCAGCTAATTTTTTGTATTTTTAGTAGAGACGGGGTTTCACCATGTTGACCAGGATGATCTCGATCTCTTGACCTCGTGATCCATCCGCCTCGGCCTCCCAAAGTGCTGGGATTACAGGCTTGAGCCACCGCGCCCGGCCCTTGTTGTATTTTTATGTATTGTTTTCCCCTGTGTAAATTTCCTTACGATTTACAAAATTCTACGTCACAGAAATTGAACTTTGACAAAGCAATTAGATGTCTAGGGAAACACTGATGCAGGAGAAAGCATATTGTAGCATTGGTTAATAAAATAATAAATAGAAACCTATGGGCCGGGCGCGGTGGCTCAAGCCTGTAATCCCAGCACTTTGCGAGGCCGAGGCGGGTGGATCACAAGGTCGAGAGATCGAGACCAACCTGGTCAACATGGTGAAACCCCGTCTCTACTAAAAATACAAAAAATTAGCTGGGCATGGTGGTGCGTGCCTGTAATCCCAGCTACTCAGGAGGCTGAGGCAGGAGAATTGCCTGAACCCAGGAGGCGGAGGTTGCGGTGAGCCGAGATCGCGCCATTGCACTCCAGCCTGGGTAACAAGAGCGAAACTCCGTCTCAAAAAAATAAAAAATAAAAAATAAATAAATACATAGAAACCTAAGATTTAACAAAGGGTAATTGTTAACTAGTGTTATAAACACCCAACACAGATATATATTCATGCAGCAAACATTTGTTGAGTATACTGCTGAATGAAACACACGGAGAAACACTCTATAGTGAGAAAGTATCAGATATTTCAGTTCAGTGAGTAATTGCTAATGAATGGGAAATATGAATGACAAATAGAATCTATCTTTTCTCAAGGGGCTTGTAATTAGGCAGGAAAGAATAATAATTCAAGCAATACTTTTTTGTTTGGACCAAAAGTGTGAGAATAGGCTATCAACTCATTTCAGGCTTTCTTTTCTCTAGAATTTAATCCTTCTTCTTTTCATGTCCCATATTGATTTTAATCTAATCTCTTTAAAATATATCCCCCCGATAATGACTTCCATCTTAGGAAAGAGGCTTCCCATTTGGCTAAAGGACAGGAGGGTATCTTGTCCTCCATACTAATTAAAGGGAGGCTACATTCTGGGAATAGTGAAACAGAGACACTGATAAGCCAAGGAATTTGCCCAAGGGCAACCTACATGACTGTGGCAGAGCTTAGAATAATATCGACACCTACTTTCCAACCCACTGTCGGATATTTTTTTAACTTTGGAATTTATTTTGCAGAGAGTCTTAAGGGCCAGGAAAATGAAATAGATGATAGTTGTAGGATACTTAGTGTACATCTTTCCTCACTTCAGATGACTTTTTTTTTTTAAGGATTATTTAGACTGTATACATATTTATGTAGCTGTATAGGAGTAAACTGACAGCTATATAAGGTGATGGAGCCCCAAGACAGATCTTATAACTGTGGCAGGAGGATTGTGGATGGGATGGTGTCGACTGACTATTCGAAATGCCACTGATCTAATTGGTTGGTCACCCAGATTTTACCCCACTCTTAAAATTGTCAGAGGTGTTCAATCCAGAACAACTCCATTTTAAATGGGGCTGGGTAAAATGAGGCTCAGACTTACTGGGCTGTATTCCCAGACAGTTCAGGCATTCTAAGTCACAGGATGAGATAGGAAGTCAGCATAAGATGCAGGTCATGAAGACCTTGCTGATAAAACAGATTGTAGCAAAGAAGCCGGCTAAAACCCACCCAAACCAAGATGGCAACAAGAGTGACTTCTGGTCATCTTCACTGTTACACTCCCACCAGTGCCATGACACTTTACAAATTCCATGGCAACATCAGGAAGTTACCCTATATGGTCTAAAAAGGGGAGACATAAATAATCCATCTCTTGTTTAGCATATAATCAAGAAATAACCATAAAAATGGGCACCCAGCAGCCCTCGGGGCTGCTCTGTCTGTGGAGTAGCCATTCTTTTATTCCTTTTCTTTCCTGATCAACTTACTTTCACTTTATGGACTCGCCCTGAGTTGTTTCTTGCGTGAGATCCAAGAACCTTCTCCTGGGGTCTGGATAGGGACCAGAAAGGGACTATATAATGTGGAAACCCCCAACCTAAAGGCTAACTTTGGGTAAGTGGTGGGGTCCAGTAACATCTTTCTGGTAAACCCCAAAGGGATGATACTGAGGAGATCCTCCACCTGACCCAAAAGAAATAGACTGCAGCACTGATCCACTGACAGGGTAAGTGGTGGGGCGCCCAGCTAAACGAATGGGATTGAGTTAGAGTCTCTCCTGAGACAGAGTGGGTTAGAGGCCCCTCTTAATAAAAGGCAAGGACGCTTGACTGACCTTGGATTACTGGCATCTCAGTAAAGTCTCTTTTGGTAAAGTCTTTTTCGGCTCAGAAGAGTTTTGGCACTATGGGATGTTAACTGCTATTCTCTTTGGATTGATCTGCCTTGCACTTTTTGCTGATGGCTGTGGGTGACAGGATTAAGCATGTACAGGATCGTGGGACAAGGGGAACTTTTCCCTCCCTAAAAGGGAAAACTGGAGAGCTGCTGGGACTGTTGGAAAAGACAGTCCCACCCTTCACTACTGACAAGCAGCCGCCTGAACTCTGGATTCAGTGTTGGCTGCAATGGGCGAGTCTTTCTGCGGCATCCGTGAGCACCCCGAGGGCTGCTCTGCCTGTGGAGTAGCAATTCTTTTATTCCTTTTCTTTCCCAATAAACTTACTTTCACTTTATGGACTCACCCTCAATTCTTTCTTGAGTGAGATCCAAGAACCCTCTCTTGGGATCTGGATTGGAGCCCCTTTCCTGTAACATAATAATGACCAATCTCAAATTTTCTTTGGGACTCTCATTTCTAAAAAGTTCCAAAGAGAAGAAAAAAGAGTAGTTTCGTAACATTTTTTTCATCTGATAAGGCAACCGTACAGGAACCAACTAAGCCATTTGAAGATCTGATCCAAATCCATGAAAGAAAACAGGAAAACTCAAAACTCAACATACTTTAAAAAAAAAAAGTCCAAAAAACCCTGCCTTTAGATTGGATTTTTTTTTTTTTTTTTTTTTTTTCAAAAAAGGATTTCATTGTGTGAGAAATTGTGGAGCTGGGCAGGGCTCAGTTGTGTGAATGACACAGTGATTCAGTGTCTATACATGTGACGGTCGTTGATGGGTATCTCTTGAGTGCTGTTATTATACCAGGAGCAGTGCACCCTGAGGGACGTGGGGTTGTAGAGAAAGGCAGGCCCCAGCTGGTGTTCCAGACTAAGCATGCCATGCGAAGGAGTGGCTTTTTAATTTCAAAAAGTTTACGAACCAATGAGGGGTTTTGTTGTGCCATTTAAGGGAGGGAGTGATGGCTTGGGTGGAGGGTGGTGGGGGACTCAGGTCAGACTTGCAGCTTGGCCCTGGGGATGGAGGTCAGGGAGCCCACCTTCAGGACTCAACGTGGGCCTCCGAGGCTTGCTGTTTTCTCCCTGGTCCCTCCTCCCTTTCTATCCACATCCACCATGCTGGCGGGTCCATCTTTTGAGAGGGCAGATCTGCTTAAAAATTGATGTAAGAACAGTTTCCAAAACTTGTTGTGGATTTTTTTTTTTTTTTTTTTTTTAGGCAGGATCTCACTCTGTTACGCAGGCCAGAGTGCAGTGGCACAGTCATGACTCACTGCAGCATTGACCTTCTGGGCTTACGGGATCCTCCTGCCTTGGCCTCCCAAGGCACTGGGATTATGCATGTGAGCCATGGCTCCTGGCCCTATGTAGATTTTTATATCTACATAAGATTGATATTTTTTCTTAAAACAGGTTCACTTTTTTAAACTTACCCCACTTCATTTACATCCTCTTCATTAATAAAACATTAGTGAGTTTGTGGTGCCAGTTACATTTTCTCTCTACGCATTTAAACAAATAGATATTAAAATCGTTTGTTCCGTGAACCTCCCAAATTGGCTCCTGCCTTTTGAGGTTTTCAGACCACA